ATTATTATTATTATTATTATTATTATTATTATTGTTGTTGTTATTTGTTCACTGACTGTATTAATGTATTTTTCGTTCAGTACTTTCCTGTAAGTTGTCTTTGACTTTATGTTGTGATTGTCCATAATGTAATTACTTGTATCTACACTGTGCTGTGTCTGTAACTGGCCTTGTGGCTGTTGACTCGTGTATTTGTGCAACAGTTCTGATTTCTCTTGAGGAGGTGCCTGGTCATCCATACGAACTGCTCTCGCTGAGATTTTCTCTTTTTCCTGTCTTTTCCTCAGACACATTAATATTGTCGTCTTCAGAATTCTTGATTTCTCGCCATGACTGATCTTACGATCGGTTTCGATATCATGGAATGTATGCAGCTGAAGTAACGCTATTAAAGTAACAAAGTAGAGCAAATATAGTACACTGTACCGCAAAATATAATAAAATGTACGTTTTAATAACATGGTTCGCGTCAATTTGCTTCAGTACTTTGTTAGTAGGTGATATTTACTCTTGGCTGATAAATGAAATGTTTTTGTTTTAAAATTCTCAATATACAGGGTGTTTTGTGCTACGAAAACAAATGAAAAGGGCAGGGTTATGTGTTACCGCGCAACTGAAATTCTGCAATGTTTTCCAATAAAATATCTGTTATGACCTTTATGTGTTATGTACATAAAATAGTTATTGTTTCCGTCAACACAACAATACTTTAAGCGGTAAACAAATGAATGTTGATATTAAAGTCATAAACCTTAAAGGAACTAAATATTGCGACCCTTATTATATCATCATCATCATCAGATGTCTGTTATTGTTAAGATGCCGAAGATGGATCCAGATTGTGGGTTGTCTATATACTATACAATATGATACTTGTAAAAAGGCACTCAGGATTATGTACTGCTTGAGAAGCAATTGGACTGAGCCTAGACGAATCTGAGAAATAATTTCGGAGGAATATGTCGCCTCATTCTTCAGGATCGAAGAATAAACCATGTAAGACACCAATATGAAGCAGATAGAGGTCAGTTTCCAACTTCTTTATTGCTAGTGGTGTGGGACTAAGTCCCTTGTACTGCGGCCACTTCTGGCCTCTTGTACCAGCCCCAGATGATAGGTGAGGGTGATTGTGGAGCAATTGGTGGAAGGAAAATTGGCAGGGGAAACCGAAGTACTCGGAGAAAACCTGCCCCAGCGCCATTTTGTCCACCACAAATCCAACTTGATAAGACCCGGGATCGAACCCGGGCTGCTGCGGTGGAAAGCCAGCGACTAACCGCTTGAGCTATGGCACGACCTCGGTTTACAACTTGCTTTGCACCGATTTCTTGTTTTGCTTACTCTTCCACCCTGAAGATAGAGGTGATATGTCCTTCCGAAATGTCGGATGAGATGGCATAGATAAATCCCTTCAACAGATAAAAATGTTGAACAATTTTCTCCACCTCTCTCCTGTTGCCAAACCAATATTATCCCGTACTGGGGTAATAAACTTACATTACAGCGAATTCATGATTGGTTCAAGTGCATCTCTAAAAACCATAAGCCTCAATTGTTATAAGGCATAAAATGTTAATGAGGTGATATATCCCCTTTATTAGCGTGTGTTTGTTCTGTATGTCGCTTTTGTGTTCATACATACTGATTGCTTACGTAATGAAAGAGCCGTGTAACCCAGTCGGCTAATTGAATCAACATTCACGCAGCACTTCGGGCTTTGTGCTCCAGCTGCCTCGTTTTTCATATTTTTTTAAACAAATATGTCCGCGTATTTCATAGAGAGAAATGTGACAGGAAATGGGATTCATCATCACCCCACCCCCCCCCACTGTTTCCATCATCATACCCTGTTCCGGTCTGACACAAGAATTCGTTACTTAACTTCCACGTGTCTGGCTTTTCAGGTTGTAGTCTTCTGGGTTATGGCACTGTGTCGTTACTGTAGGTTGATGCCGACGTTTCGGAGTGATATACTATAACGGATTTGCTCAAAGCGTTTCTGTAAACACGGTCGACGTGGAACAATATGAGATGTGTCTCAGTGGATGAATGTTACGGCGCGTTGCTAGGCAGTAGCGCACCAATCAAGACACTGGCTAGGAATCACGTGACTTGTTCTCTGTGAGGTATTCCTTATGCAGCAGTAGAACTGTGTTTTCTGTGCGTGGTCTGTGCGGAGGCTATATAATGAAACAACATCAGCCACAGTTTTTTTTTTTTTACGAACTTCCCTTGGCTCTCTCCTCCTGAGAACTGAACACTCAAAGTTAATGTGACTTTGACTCTGACAGTTCAGTTCAGTTCTCAGTAGGAGACAGCCACTGGAAGTTCATAGAAGACATGTGAAGATTAAACGTGTGAGTTGAAGACTTTTTGTGTTACAGATACAGCAATCTTGGAAGTGTTAGAATTATTTGTATTTATAACAAGTGATGATAAGACAAACCTGTTCACCAATCTAAATCCGCGTCGTAGTAACTCAAACAAGTGACAATACTACTTCCATCTTCAGGAATGAAATATCCTTACTTAACATATAGGCATATGTGACGCAACCTAGAAAACCAAAATGTGAAGAAGAAACATGTAAAATTTTGAAGGACATTAATTTTTGCGATGTGATGTCATATAGTCTGGTGGAATGTTAACGATGTTTCGGATGGATTTACTGCCCCGTCTTCAAAGTCGCGGCTTCAGCTACGATTTTAAAGACGAAGCAATGCTTTTCTGCCACACATCGGTAGAATTTACCGGAATATCAGAGATAATGCACTCCATAGACATTGCTATGAGGGCTCCCAGGTCTCACACCCCACTCTTCCTTTTGGGTTTTGATTCACAAGGGACTCGAACACAGAACTTCTGGTACACACAAGTGCTGTTCTTTCCCCCTGTACACGCTCCATTTCTCCTGCTGCTTCATCACGTGGCTGCTGCACCTGACCAGCTCCACCTGTTGCAGCTGCCCGCAACACACGTCCCTCTGCATTTTTACGTGAACACCAGAAGCCGTGAGAGGTACGAATGTCCTCTGTGAATAATCTCTGTTTATGGATACTATGTGAGGTTTGACGAGGGACATGTGGTTGCGTAGTTGGTTGATGCACCATGCTACTAGCCGGAAGGTCGCGGGTTCGATTCACGGTCAGGTCACTGAATTTTTCAATTTACCTAGTCATTCCAGCCTTACTATGGCCCTGGGATCGACTCAGCTTCTAACAGAAATGAGTACCAGGAATCTTCCTGGAGGGTAAAGGACGGCCGGCGCGTAAGGTTGGCAACCTCACCGCCGTCTGTCTAGAAAGTGTTGGAACCTCGACGTCTCACAAACCTATGTGCCTTCACGGCCTGTAGCAGGGAGTGGCAGTGGTAGGCCGTGCCATAGCTCAAGCGGTTAGTCGCTGGCTTCCCACCGCGGCGGCACGGGTTTAGTCAAGTGGGATTTGTGGTGGCCAAAGTGGCGCTGGGGCAGGTTTTCTCCGAGTACTTCGGTTTCCCCTGCCAATCTTCATTCCACCAATTGCTCCACAATCACCCTCACCTATCATCTGGGGCTGGTACAATAGGCCAGAAGTGGCCGCAGTACAAGGGACTTAGTCCCACCCCACTAGCAATAAAAAAAATGACAGTGGGAAGGAATTTGAGAGATTTTGTTTTGTTTGTTTCCAGAATGTGAAGACATCGCTTGGTGTGTCGACTGAAAGATCGGTATTCATATCACAGGTAAGAGCCTCATTCCATACCAGGATGTGGTCCATGGAGCTGCCCTGTGTGTCATACGTTAGAAGCGTTATCAGGCTTTGCTGCAACAACGGCACAACTCACACTTCAGTACTAGTATTCCATTTATAAACAACGCGTATCTCCTTGGCAAGAAAGTGACGAAACAAAGTTATATCTTCTGTGATATAACGCCGTATAATTTGTTTAAAGTCAAGAGACGTTTCGGAGGAACATTCATCTCCATCTTCAGTATAAGAATAAGCCAAGCAATAAATCAACACGAAGTCTGATTGCCATTCGCTTCAGACCTGAAGAAGGAGGCAACATATACCTCAGAAACCTCGATTGATTTTTATCATAATTGAGGAATTTGGAGGATTAAGTTCCTACGAAATGTCGATGAACTACCAGACTATACGGTGTCATATCCCAGAAGATAACTTTTTTATCCGACCTTATATGTTTGAAAGTAGATTAATTACTACGCAATTTTTTTTACTGTTTGAGCAGATATTTTTTGCTTATTCAAAAGCCAGAACTTTATGTTATTCAGTGTTATTAATATGTTAACTGAACATGAGATAGAAGCTAACATGAACAAGAGATAAAGCTAAGAGATAAACTCGTACCGGAACTGGTAGATTTCACTCGCTCAATTATAATAACGCCCCCGGGTGATTTTGTGTATGCCAAATCAAAGCCTTTCTCCGTGGGTGGAAACGTGGAAGGGTTTATGATTGATTGCGCGAGTCAATGACAGGTCTAACTAAACAACGACGCCATGTTGGCGAGACAGTATCATTCATATTGCTGTTATTCAGGTCTGAACATTTCGATTTATTACCATTTGTTTTCTTTTTTCTTCGTATCTCATATTGAAATATGTAAATATGTAAAACATTGCATTGAGTTTACATTACACGAATTTTAGTACTTAAATGAATAAGCATGAACATGAATATAAGAGCTATATATTAGTGCTCGTTAGTGTAGTTGCCACTTGGAATCTCACATCGGTGGTTATGAAGAGTTCTGTCTTCTGGGATATAAACCCGTGTACATCAGCAACGGCTCACATGGTAGTAGTTTTCATTCACTCACCAACCAACTCGCTCCACTGTACTGCACTGTACTGAACTGAACACGATCGGTTGCGTAATATAACCTCTGAGCGGTCCACATAGAAAACGCCGCTACCAACAGTACTTCATTGTTGTGCGCGGGCCGCTGCCTAGCAATGGGCGTTGACTCTTTTCGCAGTTGTTGCCTATCAACTGGTCTATATGTGACAGTGTAATCTCGCGACCCCCCCCCCCTACAAAAATAATTTGGACTGTGTCACTTTCTCGTGCTATAATTTAGGAAACGGTTTCAAGTGGTTATACAAAGATATTTTTACTTCCTCATCAATACATGACTTAAAGTCTCTTAGTTTTACCTAGAAAACATTAAACATATAGGACACATTTGAACCTAAGTCGCCGCTCGAGCCAAATTGGCGAGTTGGCTAGCCACCGAATCCTATATATCTAAGATACATTTTAATATTATCATTACATCTATGTCTAGGTCTACCTAGTGGTAGACCCAACAAAATCCTATACTAATTCCTTTTCTCCGTATATTCTTTTTTATTTTCAAATTTTATCAAAATTTTCCAGCTGTTCTCGAGATGAAATATGTGAACGGATAATCAACTCCACGCCCCGGATAACTGCCTGCCTCGCCGGTAGATGGCAGTGGGTAGTCAACTCCACACTTCAGCCGCTTCATACAGGGGCAAAAAGCAAACAACCCATATTCAACGGATATAAGCCACCCTGCGCTTGATGACATAGACAATAATGCCTGTCCTTTCCGGGAATCTGCCCCTAGCTATTTAGACCGTACCCAGTCACAGGTTGATCTGTTTCGATTAACTGGAGAAGTGCCAGCTTCGAATGTCGCTACTTTTGTTGAGTTTCCTGGCTGAGAATTTCGTGCCACTTTCTTTCCTCTCTCAGGACAAATATTTTAGATATTTCATACTCTGAAATAAACCGTGATTGTCCCTGTGCTTAATTAATTAAGCACCATAACATGAAGACACATGTGGGAGTGAACCTCGGCGCTAGATGGAGGTGGGTAGTCAGCTTCACGCCCTGGGCTAAGAGCTCTCAATGCATATTTGGTAGGAGACTGCATGGGCCCAAGATTCGTTCTGGACGCTGTGCTATCGAGAAAATTTTATTGCCCCTAGCAGGAATTGAACCCCGGGCGTCCAAGTCCGTCGCTATACCGACGGAGCTATGCGGGTTTCCGCATTTTTATAAGACTCTTTAACAATGTTTGCGTATTAGCAGGAGAAGCCCAGAAGTATGAAGATACGGAACTTTCGAAAGAACATATCGTCTCCTTCTTCAGGGACGAAGGTAAGCCAGGTAAACTAGTTCCGAGGTCAAGAAAACGTGCATCTATACATCCTTTCCCCCATAAGTTTTCGAGGTAAAAAAAAAGAGGCCCATATGGTTGTGAGACGTCAAAGCTCCCACAGTTTCTAGATAATCGACTCACAGATAGTGGTGAGGTTGTCAGCCTTATATGCCTGCCGGATAGGGACCAGTGGAGGGCTCTTGTGAACACGGTAATGAACCTTATGGTTCCCTAAAGTGCTGGGAAGCTCTTGAGTAGCTGCAGAATTGGCAGGTTCTCAAGAAGGGCTCAGCTCCGTGAGTAAGTGAGTTGGTTCCTAAGACTACATGGCTTCCTCTGATAAAGTGATGAACAAGTAATGGATTGGAAGGGATTTGGAAGAAATTGTCGTGACCTATTTCAAGGCATTATTCTACATTTCCTGGAGAGATTCAAGAAAGCTACGAAATCCTCTCAACTTAATTAGTATCCTGACAGACATGCGAAATGGAAAGTTCCTTAATACGAGTTAGACGTGTTAGCATATGAAAGTATTAGCTTTGTGACGCCGTGTACTTTGGTAGATATGTACCGTTCTTACCGCCATGCGAACCTAAAATCTTATACATAGGTAATTACTTAGGTGATTAGAGGGGGAGAGGGTGTTTTCGTCCTTAAGAATATAATTTACTGAAGGTCTTTATTACAAGAAGAAAGTTTAAAATGTAGAGAAGAGGGAAATGTGAAGAGGTGTGGAACTGAATTCGTCGAAACGTCGAAATAATGAGCCACGCTGTTTCTTGGTGCGATAAATGTTTCCGGCTTTGTAGAGGAAAATTTAACGCTTCACGCAACTCACACGTAATTTCTACAGTGAGAATCTACTGGTGGTTAAGCCTGCAGTCCTGTATTAACGACTAATTAAGTTATCAAGACAGAGCTCTTACGTAATTGTCAAACCTTGGGCGTAGAAATTTAATGAACCCCATTGAACGAAAGCTTTCCCTTACTCTCGTCAGTACGTCGCCCACAGAACGTCGCGGTGGATCATGTAGCACGTCCTCTTCGTGTCTGGACAGCCCTGGGTTCCAGTCTCGGCCGAAAAATTATTCTAACTCAGTTTATCGTGGTTTTACTCACTTTCTCCAGCGAAGTGTGGGATAGAACCGTAAATTAAGCCACGACCACTTCTTTAACATATTTTCAAGTTCATTATCCATTAATTTTCGGTCAAGAAAACCGAAATTAACTGCCGTGGGGATCCGTTGCGCTGACCACGCGACACCATAAATAAATTATTCCCCGTTTATGAAAAAGCGATCTAATGGTGAGATGAAAACTTTGAAATTACGTAATTTCTGGTTACTATAGCAACGAATTTTTGAGCGTTAACACGTTATAAGGAAGTAAATTATGTATTAGGTCAGGAACGAGTGATCATTTTTTGTTTCAGTGTGCCGTGTCTATTTTGCGAATATTGATACTATTTTGATGTGGATATATGAAATGTAGTACAATATTGTGGCGTATAGAACCGTAGCTAAGCAGTTTTGTAAACAACGACCGTTGCTAGGTAACGTCCGCAACAATAGAACGACGGAGTTACGCAACCCGTTTGTAAGCAACGGATCGGTGAGCACGATCAACCAGCGTGAGCAGGTGACTGCAGCCACCTGCTCACGCTGGTTCCCTGCTCGGGATGTCTGCCCTGAAGATGGAGGCGATATTTTCCTCCGAAACGTCGGTTCACACAATATCTACACGGCATCACATCCCAGAAGATGGTCTTCTTCAGAGTCACCGCCGTGAAAACCTCAAATCTTATATAAACAATGTTGTTTGCCCAGATTGTGGATGTTTTGTCAGAAATGTCGGCTTGCTATGTATTTGTATTCCTATTGCTGCTGTTACCCTGAGTCACGTGATTTTCTTTTGTAGTTCAGTGTAGGTACATTTTTTTGCTGTTCGCCTTGTCTCGTAATATTCACCCTAACTACCACAATATTTATAGCCTGAAACAAACTATAAGCAGTCTCCTTGCTGTACCTTTGCTTATTCTTTGATCATGAAGCTGGAAACAATATTTAGTTCCGAAATATCTTTAAAATTTTATGGACTGCATGGCGTAACATGCCAGAAGATAGTGCTTTTCTTATTAAATTTAAAAAAAGAAAAAATTCTGGCTAGACAATTCCCTTCCATTTGGCCGTCTGTTTGAATAGTCCTGGAGTTGTACCGTGGGTGCTTTCCTTTGTTAATCACATTAAGCTCTGCGTGAGGACGCACATTTAGCGAATTTTCCTTTCTGCTGTCTTTCACAGAATCTAATTCATTAAATAAACTGCAGCAAGCGTAAAGAGGGATCTTCCCTGGGTCTCTAATGGAAAATACATGAGAGAAACCTCTAGTGACCGTCTCTACCTCCGAGATTACCTTGCATATCATAACACACGGTGTTTAATTACTGCTTCAGCTTCTACAATGAGACATCCTCTTTTTATCTGGACAACTCCTCGGTATCAGACATCAAGCGAAGATCTAAAGGGAATTTGTGTAGCTGCGTTAAGCCAAGAGAATGGTCCGTGAAGACGGACTTGCCCAAGAAAAGG